AAAGAATTCAAAGAAATTGCATGAACTAAAAGGAATTAATTTCGTAAGTGAAGGAATAAAAGAAAACAAATACCTTACCCCCAAGCTCGGCTGTTTGAGTGATAATGCTCAATCCTTTAGGCTTTAGAAGACCAAAATTATTAAACAAACTAAATTGGATTTTTTACAAACTTGCCACGTCGTTCGAATGCACATGCGTTATGATAAGTAAAAAAATCTAAACAAATATTTCCACTCGAAGCATAATCACAACACATTAGAATTGAGATAGAAACCTATTCAGCATTAAGAGCATTTGTAACATCTGGAAGAAAATACAGTTTCAATTCTTAACATCTACTTCTTTATCACTCTATTGCTTTTTACATAAAACTACATCAATGCTGGTTCGTTAAGACTGCCAAACTATGTGTTTTAGACACGGTATCTTTCTATCTTCAGCCTACTTGAAACATCGGTATTTTAACCTCTTATTTCAAAATTTTAACCCCTTAACCCTCTCCAAATTAACCTTTTGTTTATTCCTGGCCATGGTATCTCGTTTAGAGTACAAACAATTTTACTTGGAGTTCATACGTTTTTTTTTTCATTGAATGGCACAAAAGTCTCACATTCCAGTTCCATGATCACTGCAATATGAATATATCTGTGGATGTACTCGTTTATATGAGTTCCAAATTTAACAACATCTTTTATGTTATTGTTCAGATCTTCTAAAGCCAGTGAAGATGAGTAGATGGTGGGTTGAATTAATCGCTGCCGTCAATGAAGAGGTTAAATCGAACATACTTAATTTTCTGTTTTGAAGTTTTTGATGACCACTGACTATTTCGTTAACTACTTGATCTTTGACTACAAAATCATACGTCCTGATTTCCATTGCAATGACATACTTTGTTAATCGTCAGACTTAATTGTCTAATGCATGTGACATTGTCCTATTTAAAACACTTTCAACCACGTAGAGTTATGTCAACACTTTTGTAACCTTTTGTAACAGAAATATCAGAATTAGCACAATAGCTTTATTTTTGGCCTACTTGTTTTATTCACTGTAGACTTAAAGAATGCCAATGGCTTTAATTATTTTGTACTGACATACTAACTCATACAAATAATAATAACAATACTGTATGAGTGCCAAATAAGAAATTATAAATCTCTAAAAGACAATATCACAATTATAAAAAATATGTTTTGAAAATAAGCTCTATAATGCCACAATAAAAACCTGATATTTTACAAATAAATGAATATTATTAATAAACTTTTGTTAAACCTGCTTCAATTTTCGATTAAATTTCTTTGAAACTATTATACCTCCTATAATTTGGCAACAATAGGCATTCATTTTAGCCCTTATCCCAATTGTGAAATGGACATGCCAGTCTCAACTTTAGAACCTTCGTTGATGTCTACATAAAAATGAAAATCAACCAGTTTGGACTTCACGGCTTTACAGGCTGGCAAACATTCTTAAAGCTAAGTTTCTAATTACATAGCATTAACGTAATGATAATAAGGCGATACGTGTAAAAAATGAATACACCACATGTATTTTTCAAAAACTAAATTATTTCGAATAGAAGATCATTTTGTTTTGTTTTTATCGTTTTGTTTTTTTATTGTTTTCTTTGGTTTTAGTGTCAGTCTTTATCAGATATTTCATTGCATTAAAGTTTTCTTTTTTTAATTTTCTAGAAATACTGCATTTATATTCATACCCAATGTTTCAATGCATAGTATATATGGTGGTGTAGTAATGGTTTTAAAGCATATTCAAATTGACGTCTGACAAGTTATATTTTGACAAGGGAGCTTGTGATTTATTGATTTTTATTGATGAAGAATCACTATGACAAAACGGTACATACTTAATTTTTACAAATTAGACAATATGTTTGTTTCCTGGTAACAAAAACAAAACAAGTGACATGACAGTTTTGACAATGCTGACAGCAAAATATTTTTTGAAATAATTTAAATCCATGTAATATTACATTTTCTTGAAGAAACGTTTCAAAATGCTTATTTATCTACTGTTTTATCAAAAATATATTATTTATTAAACCCCTCTGTTCTTCGCCCATTGTAAAAGATTTTCATACTTAGAAAAACTAATTAACAGGTTGCATGCTTAAGATGTATTTGTTTTTTAATTTATCTGATTCAAATTGATAACTATTTGACATTTTAATATAAGCATATATGCATAAGATTGTCCTTGGAAACAGAAATGTTTCACATTCTTAATCAATCCGCACTTTTTTTATCCACTTAGTTATTGTAATGAATCTACATGTTATTGTTTTATTTCACATTTTTCTTTTTATTATTTGAAAGTTGTTCCCTATTCCAAATCACACTGTATTATGGATTCAAATTTGACAATTGAAATTTAGACAATTATTTGTTGTTCTTCATCATAAGATCACAAATTTTCATTTACTCAACATTCGTGTCACTACTGTATATGTGGAAAAAATATGATTTACATATACGATTTGTACATGGTCTAATCAAACTCAAAATATCATGATTATTACATGTTTACATCACAACAGCAGGTATCAGATGCCGTTTGGCAATCGTAAAAAGTTGTCCCGTACTTCACTTCAGTGTTGTTATATTTTTCTGGACCTTCGGCAGCACTTTTAAGTGTTGAGAATTGAGTACCGCTAAAGCCGGTGCTGGGGCGTGAGGGATGTTGCATTTTTTCATTGTCCCTCATGTACAGACTAAATCAAACCGATTCTGCAATTTTCATGTAATTTTGCCTGATTTTAATGCTTCCGAGTGATCATTCTCTTTCTAGATATTTATATTTTTGGTGAAGCAATTATTCAGTCTATCATTAAAACAACTAGTTTCTTTGTGTTGTCGGACGTGTTTCTTTATTACTGCTAATTACTAGTGCATGAGAATTATGCCTCCATTTTAAATTATTTCAATTTTATCAATCTTCATTTTCTTTTAAATCATGTGTTATTGTAAATGTGAACTAACATTATCAAGTTCATTTTGATTTTGGTTACTTTAAGGACAGGCATTTTTGACGGCTTAAAAATAAAAAAAAAACTTTACAAATTCATACAAAGCACAGGTATTCTTGTGAATCTAATTGATACACGCATGAATGACGTTTGTGCCATGACAATTCATAATTGGTGGTCTGTAACCTAATACCCCATTACTTATATTATTTCGATCACATGATGTTGTAACACAAATCCATTTAGCAGACGATAGGTTCGGATTGTTTTTTGAAATCGTAGCCTCATACACCTTTTGACCGAATGGCTGATCTATGCATAGAGTGTCTTGTTAAATTGCAACGGTGAACAAAGCGTAAACATGTGTCACAAAGTCATCTTTATGCAAATATATTCCACTAATTAGTTAATTAATAAGCAGCTAAGATAAACATTATAGCAATTTAATTAGTTTTTGTCTTTTGATGAATGCTCAAATCAATTACGCAAGTATAATCTCATACTCTATAGAGTCTGATTGACAAACCTTCAAGATCTTGCATGTCACCATTGACCTGCTTTTTTCAGATGTGTACTGATAATCAAGTGGATTTGGTTGTTTTTTTTGTTATAGGATTGATTGTGTACCAAACTACTTTTTGGCAATCCCAAACACAAAGAAATGTGCATAAAAACAACCAGTCTTTGATTGTCGTGAATAAAACTAATGGTATGAATCATTAGTAAAAACACTCATTTACACTTACAGAATACATAAAATATTTATTTCAAACGGTGACCAACATTACTTCCTAAAGAAACGCGCTACTGTAATGAAGTAATGTGGCTTTTTGTTTGTGCGAATATAGTCAAGTTGTGTGGGGTTTTCACCAAAATAAATGATGGGTGTTAAGTATAATAACTACTGAGTAATGATAAACAATGGCAGATTTTAACATTTCCTACATAAATGCTCCATCTAATTAAATTTTAGTAAATGGCAGGTACATGTTGAATTTTATTTCATGATATGTGGTAAGCTCTTACACAAGTTTGAAAATGTTTGTTTAATTTCATAAGCGTATTTCTGAGTTTCATATGAATTTATAGAGGATGATGTCAAGAGATACTAAACTTTTCGCCACACTTTATGCTTTTGTTATCCTTTGGTAGGACGATTTCGTTTTCAGTACATGTGAAATAGTTCAATTATTCTAAACTAATAATTATAATAATGTAGATATATGAGTGGTATTGATTTTACGAATGAAAAACTAATAATCAAATAATTCAAAGTACATTCAACGTATGGGCAGTTAAAATGTATTTCTATCTGTAATTATTCCGTATTCCTAATTAAATAATATATTGAAAAAACCATTGGTATTTTTAGGTTGGTTAACTAATTTACTTATAAATTATTTAATATTATTAGTGACTTGAGGCTTAAAAGTGACTTAATCAATGCATGAGTTGTTTAGTTAAAATTCAATTCATTCATTAAACAGATCGTTTACTATCACTTGCAATAACTTATTTATATATCATTTGTGTTGTCAAAGAAATATTCTATCCGTGTCAAGAAGCACACATCTTAATTAGGGTAATTATTTTTTCTACGAATATTTGGAATTAAATATTTAATATGCTGTGGGATACAATTTTGTTTTGTACGTATTGGTTATAGGTTAGAGAAAAACAGTACTGATGACTTGAGTTTTTTTTTCTGGACGGGATTGGTTTCCGTTGATAATTGGGATATAATAATTTTCTAGGATTGGACCCATCATGATTTGCATGTAATTCAACAAAATTATTTCTAAACTTTTCATTTGATTCTCATATAATACCTCGTCAACACTTAATTTGGCAAAGAAGAACAAACTTAAGTATGAATGTCGAGGACATGTTTCTTTTGTATGAAACAATGTCCTAGAAAAATTCCCTTTGCTTTCATATTTTCCATTCTGTTTCCACCGTAACAAAACAATTTTTTGTTACCATCAATCAAAATAACAAACATTTTTTTTTCTTTTTTCAAATTTATTGCGTCTTCAACAAGTAATAAGATAACAGTATAGATATTTACTGAATACAATAAAAAAGAAAGTAAAAAAGATGAAATGCAAAAGCAAAACAAATAAAGAATTTGTAAGGTTTAACAAACTATGAATAAAACACACGAAATATACGTCTAAGGACATGGGTACTACTGGAACAATGATATTTGAGGTATTTAATTGTTATAATTGCAAATTTTCATCCTCCGACAAAAAAGTATTACACTACCGTCGCTTACACACTAAAAGTCAACTTGTTAAACTTGAAATCAATTCATATTTCATCATTCCAAAAAACTTTGACTTCTATCTTTAAATTGCCAGATTTAAACAGTTGAATTTTGTTATCAAGCTATATGTACTAATGAATTTCATCATCTGTAACGTCTATTTCTTCCTCATCATCACTTTCGTAATGTCGAATTTCTGAATCATTATGTGTTACTGGAGATTGCACATTAGTGTTAAAGCTGTGATGTCCTTCATCAGAAGAGGTACTGTTATCCAACACATCAGCATCTGACTTTGTTTCGTCTTGTCTTTGTTCAACAACGAAGCCAATAGGCTGTGTGACAGGGTAAAGAGGCATCATCCCTATTCCAATTGAGGGAATTGATTTACATGCCTGAACCCGTGGATATTTTGAATTAGGTCTCCTACCGCGCGGTACTTTTGGTTCTTCGAGTAGTCTATCAATACTAAATGCACAAATTCTTTTCTTTTCTTCATGTAATTCTAGTTCATTTTCTTCTCTAAAAGTATTGTTATGATCTGAATCATCATTTTTGGATTCTAAATTATCATCTTTATGCTCATCTTCAGACATGATGTCATGTTCCCCTAGAGTTTTTCTTTTGTCTTCCATTTTCCTTAGGCGCTCCTCTTGCTTGCGTTTCTTCTTTTCAAGTCTCTCGATTTCTCGTTTCTGGATCTCGTCTGGTTCGAGGGGTTCTCCGCTGCAAGTCTGAGGATGGGCGTTGTGTGCTGGACGACCGGGACCTTTCTTTGTATTATCTCGCTTTCTGAACTTTGCTCTACGGTTTTGGAACCATACCTATAAAAGGACAAAAGATAATATGAGTATTCATAATATCATATGACTCTGAAGAAAGACTTTATAAAGGTCAAAATAAGGTAAAATAAAATAAAATAAAATAAATAAATAAATAAATAAATAAATAAATAAATAAATAAATAAATAAATAAATATAAATAAATAATGGACAGGGATTAAATGCTGATATAGTACCTAAAATAGACAAGACTTCAGCAAAAATGTAAGAGAAAATAAGTATAAAAGCTGTATATTTAATTTTAGATTAATGTGTAAAAAGACCCTATAAGTTGATTCTCTTAACGAGGGTGAAGCCTCTTGTCATGAACGCGTTATAATTCATTTGATAAATGAATTAAATGTAACAAAATCATCTACACAGTTTCAATTTGATATCGCCTTTGCATAAAAGGTCCTTCGGGTGGTAAGAGAATCTTGGGAAGTAGATATTTAACCTCGGCTCATCCAGTCTTCTTCAAGATTTTTATGTATTTAATATAAGTACTGCACGCCATCTAAACGAGTATTTATGCTGCCATTGCCCAGGTGTGATGGCATGACCATATGTTATCGTGGTAAAAATCATACGGTATCATGTGAGCGTAGATGATAAATTCCCACTAACTACCTTATCATCATTTAAGGTATATTGATATATTTTTTTAAAGTTGGTCAGCTTGAATTTCAAATTGGCATTTTGTAATATCAAATACTCTTTCGCGTGCACTTTTACCATTTTCTAGTTCATTTTCGTTGTTTGTTTTTTTTTGTGTGTTTTTTTTTTGTGTGTCATTTTTTTCTAAGTTTAATTTTCAATGATTAACCATTAATGAAAATTTATTAAACGAAACCTCTTGATTTTGTATCTTAATCAGGTGAATATCTATTTTTTCTTTAGTACCAGTTGGTCTTCTATACTTTAAGTAATTTATTTCATTCATTAATGTAAAAACTGCCAAGATTAATCGATTAAATGGTCTTTCCCTTCTAATTTAATGATTAGAAAATATGATTTAAGGATTTCGATGGTTAATTAAACGTCTTAGTAATATATGAAGGAGATTTTTTTTCTAAAGTTGCGAGCTGATAAATAATTTTACATGCATTATAGTTTGATAGAATCTGATGCGGCCATATTTAACAAGACTGTAAATATTAGTATGTTTCTAAATGATATTTAAAAAATCTAACCCACGAATGAAATGGTATTTAAATAAAAGAACACATATGAATTTAATGGTAAAATTCACAATCAATTAAAAGTATCTGTTAAGTACATAAATCTCACGAGTGTATTTTTTTTATCATTTACAAGCAGTTATCAATTTTTGTGATAAGTTTTTAAAAGTTTTTTATCCATTAGAGCAAAATTGCAAATAAAAAATGGAGAAAAAAATGTGTTTAGTGCATAAAATGTGTTTCTTTTAAAAAATATCATTAAATTTCATTTTAATACCCGTTTTAAATGTTTTAGTAAGAGCAAATACTCTTCAAGTGTATTTGTATCCATCTTTTTTTTAAAAAGTACGCTATTTGATTACGCTTATTTGTAAAATTACAGACTGGATGTCTTGTTAACCGGTTGATATAGTGGGTAATGTCAGATACTCCGCATTTAAACTATCTCGTTGGTTTGTACCATACACTTTGTTGTGACCAAAAACCGGTTAATAATTTGATCCGTCCAACCCTTTAATTACGAAATGATTACCTCTTTCCCGAACTAAGTTTCTTCAAAAAACGGGTAAACGAATTCGATAAACTGTTGCTTTTTGACAAATAAAACCCTTTTTCTCATTTTCATGGTATCTTGGCTAAATACGTAATTATTTCATACTAAAAATCACGGTGGTTATTTCAGTTTGTAAATGAGAAACTAGAAAAATATATCATCATTCAGTATTTGAATAAGCCGACCAGATTTCGCGGAGGTCTTTCGATTTTTTTTATTACATTAATGAGCAAGATAGTTCAGAAATGAACCAGGTCAATTTTATTCGCCAGAAAACATATTTATTTGATATTTCTTCTGAAAAAAATATTCGTAACGTAATTGATAAAATGTGGTTTTACGCTGTCATTTATTTCCGTCTATTTTGGCCAACATAAATCCTTGTAGATCATTAAAAAAGGTACTTAACTACCGTACAATGATTGAATTTATGTGTGCATTGCCTTATTTCCGAGGTTGTTAGACATTAATAAAAGCCAATCACTTGCATATCAATAAATATATAAGTATCTAACATTTGTTGCTAGTAGATTGATTAATAATTGAATTAATGGGAAACTGAGGGCCTAATTGATCATCCGGGCTATTTACCATGACAAGCGGAATCCTTCGGACTTCTTAATATTGTTATTAAAAGAGTAACCATGATATAGCGCGCTGTTTGGGCAGTACCTTCCCCGAGGTATATGAATTAGTAGCTTATGACATTACAATGTTGTTAATTGTTATTTTATTACTCACTTAGGTGTGTTTCAAATACAATCGGACATAAGAACAGCAGTAAATGTATCTATTCTTGACATACATTACTAGTAGGAGGCTGTTTTTAATCGTTTCATCTAGGTATAAAAATACCTCAATTTTGACACACGCATTCATTAAATATTTTATCGTTTTATTTTTTGGACAAGTAATCAAAGAGTATGAAATGTTGAAAGACAATTAAACAATCTATTCGGCTAAATAAATCATTTTTGAAGAAGAAGAACATTCTAAATGGTATAAGTAATTTAAAGGTGTTAATTTGAAAAAAGTATAATAATTCTGAATAGTCATTACTAGCGACTAGACTTTAAGTTCAGAAAAATTACATTTTTACATTTCTTATCATTAATATTTCCCCTGTCTCCATTTAAGTTTATTTTCCACATTAAAGGCGACACATTTATTCAATTATTCTCATTGAAAATGTTTATTTGACGTGCATGTTACTAAATGTTCCGCGACTGGTGAATTTGCGGGAGTTAAATTGATCATAAATTGATAATCGGGGACTAGATGTTTTACAACTCAACTGTTATCTGATAATGATCAACGACCCTCTCTTGCCTTCCAAAGGAGTCTTAAAATTACCACGTGAAAACAAGCATGATAAATATATTGTGAAGTTATATTTTAACGTCTTTATTATTTCATATTTGTCCTTCTAATAAATCATTCCGATTGATTTAAGGGATCGACCGCAGACAAGAATGATTCGCTTGCAGGTAATTAAAGAAAGGGCGCATTCCGATATTACTAAATTTTTTGACTTATTTGACCCGATGCTCATATATCTTTATGACGTACACAATTTACGAATTCATATAAATGAATAAAGAATAAATAAAGTTAAAGTAAATCAAACAATTTTTACTATTACAAATAAGCTTATAAGGAATGGAGTTCTATTATTATTATTATTTAAACTATTTGAAATTGCCTTGTCTATAAAATACAAATTGTAAAGAAGAAATAAATCTTATCTATAAATGATCCCAGGTATGTTAAATACTATAAATATCTATATCAAAATAATGTAAAAATACTGGGGGGGAAATCAGCCACGAAAGTAAATAATACATATAATACAATATAAAAGTTACAATAATTATTATTCAGATATTATTATAATAGTAATGGTAATGTCATTTATAAATAAATCTCATGATTATAACGATGATGATAATTATTACAAAAATATATATATTTTAATATATAAAATAATACAACGATGATGATGATAATAATAATAATAATAATAATAATAATAATAATAATAATAATAATAATAATAATAATAATAATAATATTTAATAATAATAAAAAATAATATTACTAATCATAATAATATAAAAGGATAATTAACGAAAATGATGACAATAAGTAATAAAAAACTTATTATTTTTAAAAAATTTAAATCTATGCCACATAGCAAAGTTAATATAGATATATACACTAATGGTAATATAAGAAATAAGACAGAAAATGCAATATTTGAAATATCTTTACCTGAACTCTTGATTCTACAAGATCAAGCCTCATGGCAAGAGCTTCCCTCATGAACACATCCGGGTAGTGACTCTCTTGGAAAGCTCTTTCAAGCTCTTCTAATTGCCACCCTGTAAAATTAGTGCGGGTTCGGCGACGTTTGCCCTGTTGCCCGTCGCTTCCTTCACTGTCGCTATCTGTAAGCAGAAGAAATGGTGATTTTAGATAATACTTTTTTAATATTTTATAAAACTAACATAACATTTAATTCATTTGATAGTTTCTTTGATATTTTCAAAAAAGTCGGCATTATACTAAAAATACATCAATAATTTTATCTGATTTTACCATTAACGTACAGAGATCAAACTATAAGATAATTACATGAACATAAGATAATACATATAACTTTCACAAATATTATTGATATATTCAATCTATAATATAATGACTATTTATAATTAGAAATGCTCAATTTAATATTTATTCTTCATTATATAGGATGATGGTGAGGATGATAAAAAATACTGCAGCCCTAACCTAAGAGTACAGAATGAACAACAGGATAATAGTTTCAAAGTTAAGTTAAAAGGCATTTCGTTTGTACATAATATGCTTATTATAGTTATTCAATCAATAACTTGCTATCAAGATACTTTACTTTATCTAAAATTTATCATTTGAATAAATAAAATGACTCTCAGAACATATCAAACACCTATGATTTTATGGGAAAATTTGTCTTTTAAAGTAAATAATCTTAGATAAATATAAAATCAAACAAACATACCACAATCATCTGTTTTGAAGTATCTGTCGTCCTTTCCATCTGAAATACTACTGTTTGGTGACAGGGTCATAGATTTTCGCGATGCTAATCCTGTTTCCATTGCAAAATTCATATGACTTGCTAAAGTCTGAGCATATTCGTACGGGTATTGTCCTTGCGTGGCTAAAGCCAGTGCCGCTAAGTTTCCCGGATAATTCGCGTAAGCAAGCTGCGGGTATAACATCCTGAGTGCATTTGCTTGTGAGCTGGCCAAATAGCCTTGTTGAGTATGCATATTTGTATGTCCTAGAATAGTAGACGGTTTATCACTGCAAGCTATCATGCTTCACCTTTACATTGACATTCAATTTAAAGAAACGCTATCATTTAAAACGACAATATCTCATGAATATTCATATTGTCATTGTTAAGAGGGCGGTCCGCCAATAGCGCGTGCGGATTTTGTACAGTGGGCGGGTTTAACGACATGCGGGAAAGCGATTCGTTATCGAAAATGAAACCGATCATAACGTTTGTGTTTATTGCCTGAAACCAAATTCGATCGAAGTTTCATGTTTAACAAATTATTTGACGCTGGATTGATAAATAAACAAATAAATACCATATTAAGATAAAACCTGCAAAGGTATACTGATCTAAGCTGCAGGTTAAATATTGAATACTTCATTTGCATTAAAGAAATCGATTTTATTTCACGTTTCATCTTCAAGTGCAGTTGACTGTTGTGAAGAGAGATGCAGAATAATGCTGAAATATAACTATCGATTAAAGCGGATGTTTTGTTTAAGATTTTTCTCGGTTTAATAAAACAACTTAAATATGATTAGAGTGATGTCAAAAAATTAAACAATGCAGGGACTTGAGTTATTATATGAGTGTTTCTTTTTCTTCCGTCTGTATTTATTTCGGTTCTGAAAAGATCCTGGTTTAGTCGTGAAAGTTGCCCTTTTAATCTATCATTTAAGAAAACAAAAATACCATACATGAATTTGTTTACTCTTCAGTGTGAATATTGTTAATAAAATGACTTGAATAAAATAAGAAAAGAAAAATACACAGATATATAACAATTGTTTCATCTCATATATACCTATTTGATTTCCTAATATTTTATCAATTTTGAATATCTTCATCATTTTTTTTATCATAAAAAAATGCACACTACGATTTTTTGATACAATACAATACAAATAATAAACATTATTACAATTAGCAAAAGCTACATTGATACATAAATAATGGACAATATCACCGGCTAATTTTTAATAATAATAATATAATAATAATAATAATAATAATAATAATAATAATAATAATAATAATAATAATAATATCAATATCAAATTTGATATCAGATATAAATATATATAAAAATATCAGTCTTGAGGATGATGATGATGATGATGATGATGATGACATTTGAATCGTTTGTGTGATCCAGTGTATTACATTGTCATGTAGCTATAGAGTAAACTATTTTTTTCTAAAACATTACATTTGATGCACAAATAATACATGTTTTTGTGTATGTTTATTTACGATTTATCAAATTAATTTTATTCAAAAGCTTAATATTTGGTGTTGTATATCAAATTTATCTTATAATTGTTTTCGTTTTTACCAGACTGGGGAACGAGCCAATTACGACAGAAACAAGTCTCTGTCTTCTGAGCAATGCAAATAGTTTTTATATTATTTCAATCTTATTCAATCACATATACAGATTCCCGTGATTGATAATTACATTTTGAAATATTTTCACAAAACTATTTGCAGCTCTTGCTCTGAACTTTCAGCAAAAATTTATCGTTGATTAAAACAGACTCCAAACTGAAGAAAACAAATTTAATTTTCGCCACAAAAATTGAATTTGTAATAAAGCATATGGAAATAATGAAGAACAGTTCATTGATTGTAACCACCAACCTTTCAGTACCGCTAACAGTTTCAAATATGCCAATTTATCAGTTTTCTAGATTGTATACAAAGAAATTATTCCCAACGGTGTCAAGGGGGTGGGTTTCGTTAAACAGTATCATTTATGTTATTAATGAGAGGCCATTTTGATTTGTCATTATATTAAATATGTAATTAAGTCTGCAAATTACTTCAAATCAGGCAAATTTACGAGACTTTAATGAAGCATATAATAATTTAACACCCAAAGCCTTACAACGCTCAGCCAACGAATTCCCGTGGCCAGTTTTTCTGGTTATCCTACCCCACCATCTGCCTTACCAACATTAAACTTGACCATATCACACTTCGTCGATGTTTTATCGACTGGTCATCTAACATTTAAACTGACCGATTTACAAGATTAGGCTTATTTCTGGACTTGGCATAAAACACATGAACCAAACTATAATTATTGAAACGCCCAAGGATATGAAACTTTGTAATGTTTCAACAGTTCTGTTAAGTGTCAGACGCTGGTAAATGTCTAAATGTCTGTTGCACGACACTGTCACAATTGACACTAATGATAAGTTAGTAAATAAACATTTTTTTCAAAGTTAAATTTTGTTTTGAAAACAAATTAAATTATATTTCAGTCCCCCCCCCCCTCTTTTTAAGTTTGCAGGGATGTGTTTAAGATTCAAGTATACATAATGTACCCTCTGTCCCTGCCCCCACCCCCCCCCCGCCGACAGCCCGCCACCACCGTCTGTCCTCTCATCACATTTTGCAATAGTTTATATATTTATATATAATACTCAAAGTACAAAAATAAACAATTTTTGCAATATTTAATATATAATACTCAAAGTATAAAAATAAACAATATCTAATCGAATGCATTTTGTACCAATAAAGAATAGATTTGTAAATTTTTAAGATGTATTGATGTTGGCTTTTAACGAGAAACGTAATCCTGAATTACATTTATTTATGGTAATATATTTTTTTCTCGGTATTGTTTTTTCAATCCAGATATTATAATACCCATTTTAACATATAAACGAGCCTGTCTGAAACGTAAAAGTATCCCCTTGATTCCCATTTGAAATGTCGTCTTATTCTATTTTGCAAGACTTCAATTTCTTTTACTTCCTTATCCCGAACTAATTTCTTTATTTAATTCAAGAAGATCAAGGAATTCTTTTAAGGGATAACCGGCAATCCCAAGAGCGGTATAAATTCTGTCCCCCGTACTAGAATGACGACATTAATTTGCAATTAACGGTGATTTCAATTCTGTTTGTAATAATTTTGCAGAGGTTCTATTAATTCTGAGCCCATTTATATTACGTTTACTGTTCGACGGACGATTTACGTCCAAAATGGATCAGTCCGTTCGTTACCAAACTCAGATAAATTCTCCCCTCGACTAATCCGTACACATAAAATGGATTTTTTTATCGTAGAAAATGTTTGGCGATACTACTCCCTAAGAAATCATTAATATAGAAAGATTCTTTGTAACAGAAGGTAGATCAAAATAAATGGTAATAGGGGTTATTTGGAAATATTATCAGGAGTTTTATTAATTGCCCTCCCATGAATTATTTGGGACATTCAATTGTTATCTTCAGTCCGACATGAACTCTGTGAATATTATCTTAAAGTTTGGTCTGATGACTTCACACTACTGTCTCAGTTATTCCTTAATTCCAATTATTGTGTCAGTCTAAGCGGAAACAAACCAGCTGGCTCAGTTCATTAAATATTCCGCACGAAAAGTAGTTCTCTCTTTATAATAATCGTTTGATTTTTGAGACGACATGTTCATTTACTGTGCATGTATATACCTTTTTTTAAGAAAAATATATTAATGTTTTTACAGTCAATATTGAATTATTGTAAAAGGAAATACAGGACAAAATGTTTTATAATACATGTACTTATACATCTTTTATCACCTTATCACCTAATATATTTAATATGGGTGAAAAACTCGTGCAAATTGCCTTGATAATTACTAAACAAAACTGCTTATGATATTATAACAGAAAAGAAATGGCATTAAGGGAGGCTTCCGTTCTACGAAATTGAATTCAAATGTGTAATCTCAATGTCTTTTGTTCAGATGGGTGAAACGTGTTCTGCATATCTGCATACCATTCTTGAAAATAGTTATTGAATTTCCACATGTTTTATGAATGATGAAATATTTAAATTCATCTATACAAACATCGTGTCACTTTCATTGTTTAAAAGGCATCATATAACACAAAATATTGCAAACTGGCACCATCATTGGTTCATCTTATTTAAAAGTGGTGTCAACCAAGGCGATGTTTTATGTCCTTTGTTATTATACCAACCCGTTCGCTATTCAATACGGACTGGGCAAACTTAATTTTATTTAATTTAAATTGGGTATCGTAAATATGTTTACTTGTAATACAAATTAGGAGAAATGACATTCCACCATATTATCTTGTCAGAATAAATCTATTGTAACAAATTTAAGAGCAATGTTTTTCGTACTTAATTGTATCTGCGTCCATTAAACAGAATCATTTACAGTTAAGACGTTTTCGGTAAAATGTCACGTCAAGTAACGAACGTTAATGACTAATTATGTATCTGAATTAAAACATTTGAACAGCAAACATCGGCACAAATAATTCCGTAATAGAATAATCCAACCACCGTCTAGGAATAAAAGGTTTAAATAACACTTAAAGTGTTTGTTGGAAAACATGTCAATCCATTCAATATTGTTTAATTTTCAATATTATCGTGTTCATTTGAGTGTTTGTACTGTGCGTTAACATGAGAAAGAGTGTCATTTAGACATAAAAGAACGGATACACGACGTGCGGGAATGGCAGGGGGTAATAGCTCTTATGTTTGTATAATATAAATACAACACAATCACAGGGAGAACCCTGCCAGCTGTGGTCCGTGTACCACCTAATAGATCACAGGTAATGCTCAGTTCTATTAAACATCTCAAAAGGGTCTCAAAATATAAAAAATATATGATTTGAAATGAAACAGAATACAGGTACACAAGAACAGCCACTTTATTTCTGCAGGGTCAATCTAGCGAAACATTATAATAATGTACATGTTTTGACTTTTCTCTTTTTATGAAGTGCTGTATTCTTCTCTTATTTTAAAATTTATTATATAAATTAATTAATTAACTAATAATCAAATAAATTATTTAATACAATTCATAGAATAATTTATTATAGATAGATAATTGATTTAATTAATAAAAATAAAGAACAAAAACAGAAGATAGATAATAATCCAACTTATGCTCAGAAGAACAGATCAATTTAAAGGTCCATGATGTCCAATAAATGCTTTTATTTTTCAAAAACTTTTAATTTTTTGTTGCCTAGCTCTAGTTTCCAAGCAACATTACTACTTGACCAATTACCTGCACCA